TAGTGTCCCCGTCACTATACTGGGGTATTAGGACCCACATGGACCGCAGGGTGAGCGCCCCCTGCTGGCCCCACTAACACCTCTTCCAGCAGCAACCTGTTGACACATTGTTGGCACATTGCGACATGACAGCTGTACCTGGGTTCCTGGCTGGGGTCTTACCAGGGTCAGACACAGGCTCTTCTGGCGGATCGATCATCAAGTGCTCATTGGTCACTTCTGGAGGCACCGTGGCGACCGTCACCGGGGTGACCTGGGGTGGAAGGTCTCCATTGGCTAAGAGAGGGCAAGGAGAAAGATACAAAAAAGTAAGAACTAGCAGGGCTCCCCAGAGGTTTCCTCCGGGGCGTGGGTGTCACACATTCTACCCCTTGTAACAACCAGAAGAGAAGATGACTTTGGGATTTTTATTTGTTGTGACTATAACTGCAATCCATTTTAAATCCCTGTGATTTAATCTATCTGCAAAGCTATCGTGCTGTGGCGAAGTCCTACTCTGCACACTGCACAGCTTAATAGGATGAGAATTCTGAAAAGGACAAAGAGACATGGATGGATTTGGAAACCGCAGGTATGGAACTGAATCTGAAGCAAGTTTAAAGTACAGGCGATAGTGTGGAAATCTGGAGTAATTGCATTTTAATCGCAGAGTAATTAGGGGCAGAATGTGAAGTGTTGCCTGTTTTTCTGTAGCATCAGCAAATCACACAGTGCCCTGCCTGAAAGGAGACAGTCCACAGAGCTGCCAGGCTGCTGATAAACACCATTAACGCTGAGGATGTAAATTCGCATTGATTGCAAACAGAACATTAATCAACGCGTGCCGGTGAGCTCCAGCTGTGCGTACAGATGTCTGAGTGCTGAGAGCATCGCGCTCTGCTGCCACCTCTCGTGCACAAACCTGCAACCTGAGCAGACAGTCCTTTTACAACAGAACAAGTACAATAATAGCTTTATTCCACGCTGAAAAGAGAAGAAGGCTACACAACTTTTCGGCTGTGGAGCCTTCTTTGGGTGTGTCACCTGAAGAAGGCTCCACAGATGAAACATTGTGTTGCCTTTCTTCTCTTTTCAGCATGGAAGAAACCTTTGCTTGTTCCTTCGCAGTCAATGGGTGCTGACGCAGCTACCCGCCTGTGCTTTCACAACTGTTACATTCCTGCGGGAAGAGAGGTGCCCCTCACTAGCCTCTGCATGCTGGATCTACAGTATGTGACTACATAGCTACTCTTTTCAAGGCAGAAAGACACACACTATGACATTTCAACACACAGTTCCATGTGGATTTGATTGCAGAACTCAGGAATGTAAAAGTGAGCTGGAAGGTGACCTGGGAGTCGGAATTTCTCCTCTGTAACGGCGGACCTCAGGGGAAAGCTCTGCTGGGGTTACAGGTTTGCACCACCACCTGGCATTGGGTATGTTCTGCTTCTAACCTTCTCAACCGTTTCAGTACTGAGTTGTAGACTGTGCCTCTCTCTGTGGGCAGAGTCACTGACTGTACTGCTCTCTGTGGGCAGAGTCACTGACTGTACTGCTCTCTGTGGGCAGAATCACAGACTGTACTGCCCTCTGTGGGCCGAGTCACTGACTGTACCTCTCTGTGGGCAGAGTCACTGACTGTACTGCTCTCTGTGGGCCCAGTCACAGACTGTACCTCTCTCTGTGGGCAGAGTCACAGACTGTACTGCT